AAAATTGTTTTGCTGATAGATATGGAAGTAATGGTTTCGATTGGCAACTCAGCAGCACAATGTGAGCAAAACCATGGAGAAGAGTGTGGCTTGACCTGGAATCATCGAAAGGGAATAAAGGATTCCATGCCAGCCTGAATCCTCGAAGTTATATAAGAAGTACATTTGTCAACAGGAAGAATTCTGATGGTAAAGAAGAATGAGATAATAGTTTTAGAGAGACCAAACCATGATCAGAAGCACCTAAGGGTGAGTGTGGAGAAACTGAGCACTGACTAGGATAAGAAACAAGACATAAGTCGAGTAGAGAAGGTAAATGATTCGGGTTATCTGGAAAGCGAGTTGGAAAGTTGACTATTTGAGTTAGGGTTTGAGAAAGGCAAAAGTTGTGGGCCTTAATGCCTGCGTCATTAGTGATTCACTAACACTAGAGCCAAGCCATTCAGTGTGATTAACATTAAAGTCACCGACAGCAACAATATTGGCTGATAGATAAAGAATGTTGGCTTGGTCAATATAATCAGAAATAACATCAAGAAGAGTGCAGTCTTGAGATGAAGGAGAGTGATATAGAACAACAAAAAAGGTGATAGAGTGAAGTGGTGCTAAACAAAAGCACATAAAAGCGTAGTCTGTGGATTCAAACCTAGTTTCCTGACAAATGGGTGAATTCTTACGAATGTAAATGCCTAGGCCAAGCATGTGACTATTGGAGTCTTTACGAGTTAAAGGAAGATAACCATCAATACTAAGATCACAAGATGAGACAGCTAAACTCAAATTAGTCTCACAAAGAGCAAGTAGGTCTGGTGAACTTTGCAAGAGATAAGACTCAACAGAAGAAAAGTTACTTCGAAGACCACGAATATTGGTGAATGATAGGTTTAGCAAACTTGGTGATGACTGTGGTTTTTTGTGTTTTATAGTTTTTGTTACTTTATTCTTTTTTAAATTTGTTAAAGAACTTGACTTGAAACATAGATAGTGCTCAGTACACTGTTTTATAGCCCAAGCAATTGCCTCATTTCCACTAATAAACCCTAAGCCGTAACAAAGGGCTCCAGTGTGGCCTTGGCAATGCACACTAAAAATACAAACAGGGACACCATCCATGTGCAACATGGCACTGTTAGTACTCTGACATTTTTCAGCTGTTGATGGAATCAGCCTCTCTTTGAGCTACCACAGATTTTGGAAATCTGACTACCAGCCGTCTCCAGAACCATAAAACTGAGTTTTAGAGCTGTACCCTCATTTGGAGATAATAGAATGAGTTGCCTAGTCATAAAAACAGAGACACAAGCTAAACCCATGCATCGAGTCAAGAAGATCCAGAGTTCAACATCCTAAACTGGAAACAATGTATTAAAAATACATCTGCGCCAGCCTAATAGATGGAGATGGGGTGCGAGGCTGATCAACAGATAGAATCTGTTTACCCCTTAAGTCTTTGCCTAGGAGGCCTTCTACAAGACAGCAGCTGGATGCATTTAACATCTGCCCAAGATGAGTTTTTTTATCGAGACACCATCTCTAGCCTTTACTCAACCAAGAGCCCAAAGGCAGGGGGTGTTTTATGTCGGAGTTTGCATCTCCTAGCCTTTGCCTAAAAAGGCAATAAAGTTAATTTTTATTCCCATACATTCATTATGTGATGTGCATCAACTATTCAAGTAAATTAAATTACTTTTGTTTGATTTAGAAGATTTCGTATTTATTATAATGTAAAAACATATCAATTGTGATTTTCAGTTTGTAGACAGTGAAAATTATTCATAACACTACAGTAATATATTCATTGATTTTATTTTTGTGTGACTTGTGCTTACGTCTTCATTTATACTTGGAAATTTAACCATTTAAGTAATAAGTAATTGTGTTTAATTTTGCAGTAACCCTTTAAATTAATGCAATTGAAAGGCAGCAGTTTGTGATAGATTTTTTCATCAAACAAAAAATTGGAACCTGTTTTTTCATAAATGACTTTGGTTGATACAAATCCATTACAATCGCAATTTATTCAACAAGAAAACAGCACATCGATAATTGAGATAAAAACTGATAACAACTGTAATACTAAAAATAATCTTCCTAAATTCTGGTCTGTGTAACAATACCAGAACTTTAAAGACAAATATGATGGATTGATGATTTCAAACAAGAAGTTTGGTTGCAAATATAATGCACAATATGATTTTACAAGCAAAAAAAGTGTTCACACTTCAAAAGATTGGAAAAACTTTTAAGTTGAGACATCAAAATAAAGAAATTTAAGAAGCTTCTCTGAGGAAGAAAATAAAAGAGCATTTTTCATCAAGAGCCTACAACATTTGTATAGAGAAACTTAAAACAACATTTGTATAGAGAAACTTAAAACAACATTTGTATAGAGAAACTTAAAACAACATTTGTATAGAGAAACTTAAAACAACATTTGTATAGAGAAACTTAAAACAACATTTGTATAGAGAAACTTAAAACAACATTTGTATAGAGAAACTTAAAACAACATTTGTATAGAGAAACTTAAAACAACATTTGTATAGAGAAACTTAAAACAACATTTGTATAGAGAAACTTAAAACAACATTTGTATAGAGAAACTTAAAACAACATTTGTATAGAGAAACTTAAAACAACATTTGTATAGAGAAACTTAAAACAACATTTGTATAGAGAAACTTAAAACAACATTTGTATAGAGAAACTTAAAACAACATTTGTATAGAGAAACTTAAAACAACATTTGTTTAGAGAACTTAAAACAACATTTGTATAGAGAACTTAAAACAACATTTGTATAGAGAACTTAAAACAACATTTGTATAGAGAACTTAAAACAACATTTGTATAGAGAACTTAAACAACTTTAGCAGGATTACATATCAAAAGTAATAGATACGATGAATACAAAATATTTAACAGCTACTTGTAGAGTATTTAATACAAATCTCAGCCTGACCATAAGATGTAAACCATTTTCAGATATAGAAGATGAGATTAAGTTACAAATGAAAAATGGACTGTACATTGGAATACAATTACATTCTCCTAAAAGTGATGACAAATTAGTAGATTTCATTGCAAAGGATATTAGAAAAGATATATTTGATAAAACAATTTGAAAATCTGTTTGATTACTTACAAAGCAAACCATTCACCATACTTTAAAATTAAAATTTTCTTTTGTAATGGAAAGTTTAAAGATTTACTAATAACTGCTTAGAAAAAAAGTTGATTGGATTCTGCTGGATGACACCAACATTATGCTTGGAAGAAAATCTGGAGTAAGCATGAGGATTACAAAAATGTTTCCAAACATAATAATATGGTACTGTTTAAACCGCCACCTCGAGCTTGTTTCAGATGATTCTATAAATGAAATAAATCAAGTAAATCATTTAAAATTTTTCATTGATAAGATGTTTTTCATCAGTCTAATAAGAACTAAATTGAACTTTCCAAAATATCCGAAGAACTTGAAGTTGTTTATATAAAGATTGGTAGAGTGTTTTGGGCTGACTGTAGTTTAAGATCGGTTCTAGTTATTTGGCACACTTTTCCAGCACTACATAAGTATTTTCATTCAAATAAACAGTTCTTGGGTATGGCTGCTTGTCTTGAAAAAATATATTTGTTGAATGATTTCGCATTGATGGTTGATATTTTAAACAAAATTTCACTTCTTTTAAATGCACTACAGGCAAGGAAATTAGATCTAATAAATGCAGAAAAGTTGGTGATAAGATCTATTAAGGCATTTCAAATGCTTGAAAAAAAAATAGGTCCATATGAAAAAAATATTGATGCACTAATTGCTTCAGAGGCCTTCAAAAATATAACTTTTGTAGAAAATCATTGGTTCATCAGACTTCCTCAGCAAAAATTTATAGAAAACACAATGATTTTTAAAAAGAGATTAAATGACTGTAATCACTTAAAAGCAGGATGTAAATAAATTCAAGACACTAGTAATTTACAGTTTCTCAATATTTTGTAGCCAAATCACTGGAATAAGTTTTTATTCCGTGGAAAGCAGTTTAAGAACAAATGCCAACATTTACTGAGATTTTTAAGGATCAAATTGGTATAAATTATTATAGAGATTTATGCAATTCATTACAGTGTTTAAAAAGCTAAAAATATGGTTGCAACAATTACTGTAAGTTCTGCAGAAGCGGAAAGAGGCTTCTCAATAATGAACTTAATATGCTCAGATAAAAAAAGTTGCTTAACTGTGTCTAATATATCGAATATAATGACTATTAATCTAATTGGTCTATCTCTGAAAAAGTGGGATCCTGTTACTGTAGTGAAAAGGTGGCACAGAATTGATCACTTGGCTGATGATACACAGATAAAAGCGAAGCAAATTGCAATAAAGGCGAAGCAAATTGCATTTGATTTATTTAATTGCAATATTTCCATATTGCATTAAATAAATCAAATGCAATATGGAAATATCTTAAATAACACTTATCATTTATGTTTGTAAGAATCAAAATTTTATTTATTACTGATTTCTTTGTAATATAATTAATATAATAAAATTTAATATTAATAATCCGTTTTTGTAATTCTTTATGTAACTCTTTATTTTAGTATGAAATAATACTAGTTTTGGTATTTAAAAAAGTTTACTACTTTTCTTGGCAGGAGCACACAGAATCGGTTGTTAAATTATTTGAGTCCTACCTGTGTGTACATATATATATATATATATATATATATATATATATATATATATATATATATATATATATATATATATATATATATATATATATATATATATATATATATATATATATATATATATATATATATATATATATATATATATATATATATAGCATAATTGATTTGACTTGTTTCTGAGAAATTATATAGATAGTTTAACTAAAGTTGCTGAATCAGTATTTTCAAAACATAAAATTTTTATTTATGTATATTTTATTAGTTTTTTAGTTTCAGCTTTTAAATTGGTGTTTTTCTTTAAGTCATATTATGTCAAACATGGATTCGCACGGGAAAGATATTACTTGCATGGTTTTGTTTAACTGTTTGAAAGAAAGGTATTTTAATAGATTTTTATATGGTTATATATTTATTAATCATTATAAATAATAAATCATTGTAGATGTACAAAAGTTAAAGTTGTTTTAAAAAATCTACATAAATCAATATGTTATGTTCTTCAAAATTATTATAAAAATAAATTTTGTTACAATCACTATTTGTTATAGCTCAAATATTTTAAAACAAAAAATTTACAAAACACTAATGCCAACAAAACCCAATAAAAAATAAATGAGACAACAAAAACTAAATATACAATAATTTAACTAAAACAACATTAAAAATCAAATTTTGATTATATATCTAATTTGTCGTTTACATACCACATACATAAAATAAACATTGTTTACATTTTATTGTATTCCAAAAACGTTTTTCATGTTGTTTCATTAATAACATTTTTTCAGTAAAAATATTAGATTTTAATAGTATTGTTGATTCCAATAGTGTTGCTAATATCATTTGAGTAGTGTTGTTGTTATGTCGGTATTATTATTTAGTTCGTTCATATTTAATATAAATTTTAGTTTGTTATATTTAATATAAAGTTAGTTATTTTTTAATATTTTTAACAGTTGAAATAGTCACCAGTTCATCAGTCTTAAGTTAAAAATTTTTTCCTCCTAAAAGTGAAGTAAATAAAATTAATATAAGCATATAAGCATACACAGTTGTAGGGCTAGAAAAACCGGTAAACCGGTTTACCGGTAAATTGGTTAAAAATTATGTTTAAATTTACCGGTAATTTTCAAATAATTTACCGGTAATTTGGTAAAATTTTATGGAACTTCTGAATAAATTATTAGTAGTATTTTTTTCTAACTAAAAAGAAAAATTCTACAAAAAAGCTAACTTTTTTACATATTATAAAAAAACAGTTGAAATCGCAAAAAATTAAGAACTTTATAATAGAAAAGAATTTTGTTTTCTTACAATATTACAATATGCATTTCTTAAAAAAAAGTACAGCCTACTTGATTGATTTTTCTTAAATTTTCGTTTTTTAATAGAGAAAGAAAAATATTTACATACAATTAGGATTTGTTTATGTAGTTTATTTATAATTACATTCAGTTTATTTTGTGCTTGCGTCCCATGTGGCTACAGTTACAGGTGACATTTTATTTAATTTAAATAGTGCGTTAGTAAGTTTTTTTTTAATTATTTGGTTTTTTGCAGTGAATGATAAAATTATTAAGTATCATTAAAAAAAATTGAAAATAAACACAAAACATAACTTTGAAAATAAAGCGAATATTCTATATTTTTATTGTGTTGAGTAAGTATTTCACAAAAAGTCTTTAAAATTATATTATAGAATAAATTTGTATTGTGTTCCAAAATTTACATATTGAATTTTTTTTTAAAAAATAGCCTTATCTATGATGTCTACTGGATCCAGACAAAATCAATTGTGGAATTATTTTCTAGGTACGAAAGCTGGCGATTCAGCTATATGCAATGTATGCAAAAAAAATATAAAATGCTCTGGCGGCAGCACAAGTGGTTTGCACAATGACCTTATCAGAAAACATAAAATTAATCTGCTAAAAAGAGTTCAACATGAAGATGCAGAAGCTAGCTGTTCTAATATCAATACCACAACTTCCGTTACGAATGATATAAATTCTAGATCAAAAATTTCTGGTTATTTCAACATTATTAAAACGATTGATGACTCATTTCCAGCTGTTTTAGCACAACTGACAGCACGAGATTGTTTATTGTTTAAAAAGATTTGCACATCATACGATCTTCAGCAATTGTTTAAATCCAAAGGATATGATTGCCCAAAAGTCTCCAAAAACAATTAAGAAAATGGTGTTGCAGTACGGTGACAAAATCCGAAAACAAATCGTTACAGAATTATCAGAAAGAATAGCCCGTGGTGAATTATTCAGCTTGACTTTCCATGAATGGACATCTCTCAAAAATTGAAAATTTATGAATGTGAATGTCCACTCGTATGATAATGTATTTTGGAATCTTGGGTTGGTTAGGATTAAAGGATCGATGCCTGCTGAAAAATGTATAACGTATCTTCAAAATACACTTAAAGAATTTAGTATTGCGATATAAAATATAATTTTCATTACTACGGATGGGGCCGCCGTAATGAAAAAGGTTGGCAGAATACTGGACGTAAATCACCAACATTGTTTAGCCCACGGCATCCAGTTATCAGTAATTAAGGTGCATAATAAAAGATCTGTTTCGGATATTATCTCCATAGAAAATCAAGAAGTGGCTATTACTAAATTTGAACATGGTGAAGATGAAGAGGACCATGTAATGAAAGATATTGGGGTTTTTGACGTTATTGAGGATACATCAACTACTGATTCATCAATTCAACATGAAAGTATAGGTCCAATAATAACAAAAATTCGAAAAATTGTTGTCATGTTCCGTAGATCACCAACAAAAAATGACATCCTCCAAAAACATGTTAAGGATGAGTTTAAAAAAGAACTTACGCTAATCCTTGACACAAAAAACACGGTGGAGCAGTATGTTGATAATGTTGGAAAGAATTTATGAGATTAAAAATTGTGTTTGTAAGAGTCTAATCAATATCAAATCCGATATAGGTTTATCAGAAAATAATCTCATTGTTGTATCAAATATAATAATGGCTTTGCAACCTGTTAAAGTAGCTGTGGAAGCTCTCTGTTCAAGGGACACGAATCTATATGTTGCAGATTTGACAATTAGGT